GAACAATGACTCCCCATCGCCGTGATGGGGACAAATTTAGATTAAATATCCCTCAACACACTGAGCACCTGTTGGCTGCATCAGCACCTGCACTACTTCTGCTAAGGATGCCCATCATTACTCCATCAGCACTCCCGATTCACAGCCAGTTCAGGTATCAGCCAAAGCCACTGAACAGTGAATACCTTTAATAATTTGCTGCTTTTAATGCATTCAGTCAGGCCAATTACATAAATTACAGCCCTGCCCTTTTCATTTTACAGATTCTTTTTGTCCTAAGAATGCATAAATATTCAATGACCTCACTCAGTGAATGCTGTAGGCAGAGTAAAACTCAGAGAGCAAATATTTTCATATTGCTCTAGCTTTGAAGATCCTTTTGAAGATGATTTCTGAAATGTCCCTGTTAGTGCTAGAGAGGGACTAGCTTCCCCTGCATGATCATCGCGTAACAAATTGCTAAGTGAATTATGAAATGGCATTTACACTCATTGGCATGGTCAAAGAGTGCAATTTAAATAAATCCATTCATGAAGGCCTAATTAGTAGGGACCGTGCAATTTGCAGCCGTGTATGGGAAGTCTCTGCTAATCACAGATTGAATCTGGCAGGGTGCTAAGTGCTGCTGAAGTGCTGGAGAGTTAAAATCGCTCAGACCTTTCAGGGATCAAGCACTAGATCTGAAAAATACTGTTGCCCTCTTGTTGGGGGCTGGTGCTAGTACAGGAGAGGGGAGCAGGTCCTTGTGTTGTGCGTAGCCCTCAGGAAACTGCTCCTGGTCCTTCTCTGGCCTCTGTTTTTCCAGCAAAGGGAGATAATGATGCTGATTTCTTTTAGAGACCACTTCGAGGTCGATTGAGGTGGAAAGCTTGAGTAAAACTGAGTAGAGGTGGAGTAACTTTTGTTTTTGCAGGCTCTCTTCAGTATTTGTATTAAAAATTCCTAACTTGGAGAATCAGCTGACATTGTAAATTAGCGGGTGACATTCAGGTTAGACATTTGTTTATTCTAAGCACCAATAAAGATGTTATTTGTTTACAGTAACCTACAGGAGTCCAAACTGCTGACTGTCCCCCGTTGTGCCATGTGTTGTAGGAATGGCAGAAGTCGCAGCATCACTGTGAGACGGGTACGTCAATCAAATGAAATCTCATCTCAGTATCTGCAAGTCAGAAATTTAGAATCTAATCACATCTTCCAGGGAAATAACTCTGGTCTCACGTCCGCTGCCTTTGTGCCTGTGGCCAGATCGGAGCATCCCTTCATGCTGGTCCTGATAACATCTTCCTAGCAAGAGCTATCATGGGAAAGTAAAAAGCAGCTTTTTTTTTTTTTTTTCAAAATGTAGGTGCATTGAAAATGGGAGTGGGACTAACTAAACCACAAAGCAAAAACACCTGATCATTAGACGTCTGCTGAGGCTACCCAGACGTGGAGGAGCACTGCACAACAGCATCCTTGTTCTGGTGGCTTTGAAACTAAACAAAGCTTGTGGCCCTGGGCTGGGGATGCCGCCAGCGTCAGGTTTCACCTGCCCTTTGTGCCTGTGGGAGAAAAGCAGCTCAACCTGGACAAAACCTAACGAAAGTGATGACCGGGCTGGGCAGCAGTGCAGGATCCCAGCTTGGTTCAGCAATGCTTCATATAAGCAAGGGCTTACGTCCCACCAAAACCTTGCTGAGATACTAGACAAGATCAATACACGCACGCCCATAGTCTGCGATCCTACTTTTATCACCATTTGCAGAAGTGGAGACCTCAAAGATCTCATTTTAGGGTTTTTTTTTTTTCCTGGTTTACCTTGCAGTCATGGTGGTAAGAATGAGACCTGTACCTTTGCCAGCATTTTCCAGCTAGTGTACAAATTGTCCTTCCCATTGGATTAGGATTCCACCACCGCGTTTGTTATCTCCTGCTTGTTCATTAACTTGAGATAATTAAAACAGAACTAACAAATAACCCCCCCTCATTCTGTTTACTGGAGACTTCAAACCTATGGCATAAAGTTAGATCCATGGATCATACTGTATAAAAGGTGACCTAAAAAATAAACTCACCCAGGCTGTCAGTTCTCTGGCATGCCATTTGTCATCAGCACAGTGTAATTATCATGGACTTTAGTGACACAATAAATATGAGAGCACAGGTGGTATCCATTTTCAGCTGTTTAATTGAAGAAATGAAAGATCCTGTAATACAGAGTCAACACAGAGAATTTGTCAGGCTACACTAAAAACTTCAATAGCCGTGACCTTGAGGTTGTAAAATTACTCATCAAGAGTAAAATTTTTTATGATACAGAAGTCGAGAGTATCGATTTTATAAAAAATAATTTTATATGCAATATAAACGGACAAAATAGCTCACTCCAGTCTTCTGCAGGGCTTGAAAACGCAGGAGTTCTGTGTGCGAATCAATACAAATAATATCTTAAACCATAAATTTTAATTCATTTATAAAATACAGGCTGCATTTTTTTTCCTTAGAGCTAGCACAAAAAAAAATAAAGAACCTAGGGAATGGTTCCTCCAAAGCTTTATGAAATTTGCTTTGTCTTGGTGTGTTGTGCATTTATAAGCGTAGCAGAACAAGCCTGACTTTAGACTTGAGGACCGGTGCTTCATT